TCCAGGACTGAGTCAGGCCAAAGCCAGAAGCTTCATCTGGTTCTCCCACATGGGTGGCCGCGGCCCAAGCACTTGGGCTGTCTTCCCCTGCTTCTCCCAGCCAATGAGCAGGAAGATGGTTCAAAAGTGGAGCATCTCGGGGTGGGCAGTGTAGCATAGTGGGCTAAGTTTCTGCCTGCAGTGCCGGCAACCCACATGGGTGCTGGTTCATAATCCTGGCAGCTCCTCTTCTGATCCAGCTCTCTGCCATGGCCCAGACCAACCACTGCAACTCCAACGATTGCAGCCATTTGGGGAGTGACCCAGTGGATGGAGGACATCTCTCTATCTGCTTCTATCTCTGCCTCTGCCTCTCAAATAAATAAATAAAAGATTTCTTTTAAAAGGAATATCTGGGACATAAACCGGTGTCCATATGTGGTGCTGGTATCTCAGGCAGCGGGTTACCCACCGTGCCATAACACCAGTCTGGTCAATAAGATTTTTAAAGCAACACTTGGATTCAGAAATGAACCATGCCTTTTATGTAGCATTCAGCTACTATAATAAGGTCACATGTAATTATTTTCATAGAAAAATTACAAAATATTTTCACTTTATCATTCAAGCCTCCGCTATGGGGGGACTAGAACCGGCCCCCCCACCTCCCCCCTCCCCGCAACAAGCTGTGGCTCCTAGGGACCTTGGCCCGGCTCCCCTGGGGGCCCTGCTCAGGGCAGATGCTGGCAGTGCCCCTGGTGGAGTGTCTTGCAGGGCCTGGGTGCAGAGACAGACCACTGGTATCAGAGGCCCTGTTCCAAGTGAGGGACTTGGGGGCCTGTGGAGGGGGCCGGGCCAGGGCCACAGGCCACAGGAGCAAAGGACAGGCAGAAATCCCACCCACTGTACCCCACCCCGCCCTGCTCAGGGCACCTTCTGCCCCTAACGGCTTGGATGCCAGACCAGGCCCAAGTGCCCACAGGGCCAGGACCCTGGAATGGCTTGTGGTACAGCCAGGGGGAGGGGCCCAGGCCTGGCCACACAGGTGCCACCTTCTGGCCAGGTACCTCCAGGGGGCCACGGTGGGCATGGGGGAATGGATAGTCTGTCCTGGAAGGTTAGAGCTCCCAGGCAGAGGCCCGGGCCGGACCCAGGCCCGGGCAGGTCCTCAGAAGTGTCCCGCAAAGTATCCAGAGCCTTCCATCTGGACGGGCATGAGGGAGGAGGAGGCCAGGCCAGGGCCCCCATGGGAGATGCCAGGGTGTGCAAATGCCGAGGAGGGGGCCCAGTCGCCCCTTCTTTCGGGTGACAGCTACCCACAAGTCCAAGGGGCTTGGGGCTTCGTCCAGGGCTGAGGACCGCCCCCCACTCTGGGGGGGCATTAACCCCTTGTGTGCTAGGAAGATGACTCCCTCCACTCCGAGCCCGCATCACCACCTCCTCCTCTAGACTTCTGGGGCAGGAAGTTGGCCATGTTCCCAGCAGGGAGGCAGGAGGCCCTGGAGCAGGCTGGACTGTATTGGGAGGGGGCGCCCTGCCCAGTCCTCAGGATGCCCCGTGGGGATGGGGCAGGGTCCCTGGGCTGAAGGCCTGGCTTGCAGGGGCTTGGGAGTTGCGGTTGGGCTGGAGCGGGGAGACGGTGTGGATGGGGGGCTGGTGAGCAGCTGGCTCAGGTGGGCCTGGCCAATGTGGGGGGTGGGGGGGGTGGAGAGTGAGGGCAGCCGGCCCTTGCTTCTCTTTCTCACATCCTAACCAGCACAGCTGAGACCAGGAGGGAGCCGGGCGGCATCCACTCAGGATCCTCAGCCAGCAGGGTGCTGGCTCCCAGCTGCCCTCCCTCCCCACCGGAAGTCCCAGGAGAGTGCAGGCTGGGAGGCTGGCCAGGACACACTGTTCCCCACTGGCCCTTGAGCCCTGCCCAGAGACCTAAATTCCCACCCCGCCCTGCCCCAGCGGGGGGCCGATCCCTGAGGGCGGGCTCCCTTCCCAGATCAGGGTGCCTGGGCCGGGGGATCCCGGGGCCAGCTCCCCAGCCCTGAGCCCAAGCAGGGGAGCACCAGGTCCTGGGCTGACGCTCCCAGCGGGACAGATCCTGGGAATCTGATCTCCTGGCCTCCCCCACATCCTCCCCCCCCCCCACTTCCTGGAGCTGCGACCTGCCCCCTTCCCGCCGGCACTTCCCTCCACTTCCAGGGCTGGGCTTCTCCTCACACCGCCACACAGCCTGCCCGCCGCCCAGGGGAAGCTGCGGAAGCCCCAGGCCAGGCCCCAGCATTGTTCAGGGCCCCCCAGGCCGGCCAGCCAGCACCCCAGCTAGTGGGACAGCATGAAGCCCAGCGGCCCTGTGGAGAGGCTGCTCAGAGCCCTCGGGAGGAGGGATAGCAGCCGGGCCACCAGCAGGGTAGGAGGGCCCGCGGGCTGGGCCGTGGGTGGGTGGAGGTGTGGGCGGAGGGGGAAGGGGCTGGGATTCGTGCCCCTCGAAGCTCTCTCCCTGATTTCTCAGCCCCCTGGCCCTGCCCCGCGTGCCCCTCCTCACACTGCCCTTTGCAGTGTCAGCTGCAGTAGACTGGATCCCGCTGTCCGCTTTGGCTCCTCTCTTCCCGCTCTCTGCTCTAGCCCTGGCCGGCCCGGGCCCCCAGACCTGAGCCCCAGGTATACTTCAGCGTAGGACCTCACGGGGCGCTGGCCCGGAGCTCTGGGGGCAGAGCTAAGTGGTCAGCCCAGGACTGGGCCCCAGGGAGGTGGCCAGGGACGGGGGAGCTACGGTAGTGGCAAAGGGAGGGAGGGAAGAGGCGCCGGGGCTCAGGAGGGCTTTGGGAACTGGCTGCATGTTTCTCAGCATCACTGTATTTGCTGCTGATGCCAGAGAGCACCCACGGCTCCCAGGGGTCCAGGTCAGGAGCGTTCATGGACAGGCAAGAGTCCAGATCGCTGCCTGGGGCCCCGTCACCTCCTTCCCCCAAAAGTGGTCGCTCAGAACAGGAGATAATACTCCGACCTGGTGCGGGGAGTGGGGGAGGAGGCGGGAGACAAACTGTCCGCAGACACAGGATGGGAGGACACGGGACTGGGCCAGGCCTGGGCCCTAAGGGGCGTCCCAGGGTCCCTGCTCCTGTGCTGCTGGCAGGGTGGGGCCGGCCAGGGCATCTGGGCCACCCCCTCCTCTTACACTTGAACCTCCGAGTGACGCAGGGCTCACTGCAGAGGGAGGAGGCAGCCAGCCGTTTCCCCGGGGTCACGCCTCCCTCCAGCGCTACCCCCCCTTCCACAATTGCTGTCTGCCGCCTCAGTGCACAATGAGTAAACATGTTGTTCTGCCTTCCTTGGGGAGGGAGGCTTGTCAGCTGCCCAAAGCGTGGGGACAGCAGGAGCCAGGGCAGGAGGCCTGGCCGGGGCCACTCCTGCCGGGGTCGCGTGATTGGCCTGCTGAATGCGTGCCTGGACGCCTGCTTGCCGCACACAGGCCTCCAGCTGCGGGGGGGCAAGGTGGAAGGGACAGTCAGGGAATGTGCCTGCCACACCCGGAGGGGAGCCCCGGGGTTCCGAGTGGCAGCGGCCACCAGGGCGTCACACACAAGGGCCACGTGAGGGACCTGAGTGGGGAGGAGCTGACCCAGCAAAGGTGACGCAAGGGGTCGGATTCCAAGCCCTGTGGGACGCAGGCCCCACTAGCGGGCAAGGGCATCAGAGCCTGGAAGGGAGGAAGGCGGGAGCCAGTGTGGCTCTCATCGTATCACTCGGCCAGTCCTAGGCATGGGCCCGCCGGGTACTCAGGCCTCAGTCTGCCTGCCCCTCCACCCCCAGCCTAGGAAAGCCGAGCCACACAGCTTCCGGGAGAAGGTTTTCCGGAAGAAACCTCCAGTGTGTGCCGTGTGTAAGGTGACCATCGATGGGACGGGCGTCTCGTGCAGAGGTGAGGCACTGAACCCTGAACATGGGGCCCAGCTACAGGGTGCAGGTCTCCCAATCCCCCAGCGCCCCGCACACACCACTGCCCTTCTGACAGCCGGCTCCTCCCGACACATGCCCCTCCAACCCCAGCCCTGGAAGCCCAGTACTCTACCATCTTCCCATCCTGGCTGGGACTGGGTGGGGGGCTGGGGCGGGGGGCTCCGGTCCTCCCCATCCCACACATCCCAGAACACTGCCCCCTGGCGGCCCCAACCCTGGCCTGCGCAGTGGAGCCCCAGCGTGAGGCTCTTCCCTGGAACTCTGAGCCTGCTCCCCAACTCCAGCTGGATTCTGGGGAGCCACAGGGTCAGGGACAGGGAGGAGGGCCACCCTCCCTCTGCCCTAATAGGCCGCTGCTAACCCAACTTCTCCCACCCCTCTATAGTCTGCAAAGTGGCAACACACAGGAAATGTGAACCAAAGGTAGGTGCCTGGCTCCACCTGACAGGCGCTGGGGGACTGGGATCCTTTCCTCCTCCCAAACAGGCTTTGCCAGCTGCACCCCCCATCCCTGGGGACTCCCTCCTGGATGGGAGGGGTGCTGCACTGGGCCCTTTAAGAACCACCGTACTCCACCCCCCCACACACCCCCCAGGGGCCTGGCCCAGGCGGGTGGACAGCAAGACTGCGTTTGTCTTGGTGCTGTGCCCAGGCTGCAGCTGGCGAGAGGATGGGGGTGGGGAAGAGGAGAATGAGGAGGAGGAAGGTGGGGGGGGTACCGGGGAGGGGCAGAGTTTCAGAGACTGGGCAGCGGACATTGGGCAGGGGCCTCAGGATGGCTGGGTGGGTCTTGTCCCGTGGCCCTGAAGACACTGGGCCTTCTAGGTACAAGCTTTGGAAAGCACCCACTGTCCACCAGGGCCCCAAGACAGCTCTGAGCCGCTTTCCTGGTCCTCCTGCTGAGGTGCAGGGGTGGGGGTGAGGGTCCTGGCTGCCAGCCTTGGAGCTGGTTGCTGGTCGGGGAAGCCATGTGCCCAGGGGCGGGGTCTCCCGGTGAAAGAGGCCAGTGTCCACCCCCTGGCCGTGGCCTGCCTGCGTGGCTCTATATAGAACTCCCGCCCTGCCACTGGATGAATGGGGGTCTGTGTGGGCGAGGGGCTGGGAGCCAAGAGTAACAAGTGGGGGGCCCGGGGTGAGGGACTGAGAGAGCAGAGGGGAGGCGCGCTTAAATAGAGGCACCTCAGCCGGAGCTCCCGGCCCTCCAACCTTCCTGCGGGAGCCCCGGGCCCGGCCGTAGTCAGACCGGGAGCCCATCTCTCCAGAATCTCACTATCCGCTCCCACATCCCAGGTGACTTCATCTTGCCAGGCCTTGCCTCCCGCGGAGCTGGTGAGTGCTCTGGGGCGGGGTTCTGGGGAGGGGGGTGGTGTGGCAAGAGACCTGGCTGTGTTGTCCAGAGGCCCACCAGCCCCCAGGGCTTTGCCTCCAACCCAGTGCTGTGGGCTGTTGGTCATGGTGGAGGCGAGGGGGAAAATGTCCGAGCCCTCTTCTGTTCGCGTGCTCTTGCTGGGATTCCCCTGGCCCAGTACAGCCCAGCCCGCCCACTGTCCCCAGGCCCAGACTAGTCCTTGCCTCGGTGCTAACCGCTCCCTGTCTCCCTCTAGCGGCGAAACACGGCCCCCGTCCGGCGCATCGAACACCTGGTAAGGGACGCAGGAGGAGGGGGCTGGAAGCCAGCAGCCCTGGGGGTCAGGCGGGAACTCCGGAGTGGGGGTCGCCCAGCGAGGTGTCCAGTCACAGCTTCTCGTCCTGCAGGGATCCACCAAATCTCTGAACCACTCGAAGCAGCGCAACACTCTGCCCAGGTGGGTGAGGACCCCCGAGGTGGCCCGGGGCAATGACCCCCACGGAGTTGCCCACCCTCTGCACCCAGTCCCCCCTAGGCACCCTCTCGGCACGTCAGTCACCTCCGCCTGCCCCGCCCCTCCCCCCCAGGAGCTTCAGCCTGGACCCTCTCATGGAGCGGCGCTGGGACCTGGACCTCACCTATGTGACGGAGCGCATACTGGCCGCCGCCTTTCCTGCGCGGCCGGACGAGCAGCGACACCGGGGCCACCTGCGCGAGCTGGCCCACGTGCTGCAATCCAAGCACCGCGACAAGTACCTGGTGAGGGGCGGGGCCTTCCGGGGTCAGCCAATGAGAGGGCTAGGAGGCTGCTCACCGACGTCCAACCAGCGGAGGCGAGGCCTCCGGAGGGCGGAGCCAAAGTGGTAGGGGCGGGGCCTGGAGGGCCGACACCCACCCACCCAGGCCAGGACTTCAAAACCTTATTTTATTTATTTATTTACTAATTTATTTTGAGGATTTTAGTTATTTATTTGAAAAGCAGAATGACAGAGAGATCTTCCATCCACCTGCTAACTCCCCTAAAGCCAGGAGCCAGTAGCTCCTTCTCCCCCCGCCTCCCCCCCATCTCCCTTGTGGGTGGCTGGGATCCCAGGGACTTGGGCCACCTCTGCTGCCTCCCAGGACGGGCTCCCAGGCCCCCGTGCTCTATGCCCTGCTGGCTGTCTAAAGTGTCCCCTTTTGTTTCAGCTCTTCAACCTCTCAGAGAAAAGGCATGATCTAACCCGCCTGAACCCCAAGGTAGGCGGAAACGTCCTGCACCGCCCCCATGGGCCCGCCAGCCCCAGGGCAGCGCTGGGCTTGTTACTGGACA